AATGGTATTTATACGGCTTTAATACATATTGGTTTATAATAAAACAATGCTTATTGTGTCAGTGCCAAAGTAATAGAAAATTCTTCACACCAAGCGTCACATAACAACCTAAAAATAGTGAGAAACAACAAGCAGAAATTCTGTTAGGAATGAGAAGTGTGTGAAGATAATTGTTCACTTGCTGAAGATAAAGAAATAATGAACAGACGTCAATAAATGGAGACAGACATAAAATTGAATAGAACTGGAAAGGCCCAGGACAAAGTGGGTTGGAGAATGCTGCTCGGTGGAATACTTCGAAACTATTTTTGTAATAATTATCAATTTCAGTTTGGAAAGGACAGGAGGCTACGCGGCCTGTGTTAGTCCTGGCAATAGTCGTCTCTCAGTCGATTGAAATTCCTTTTGAAAGGGTCGACAGATGGAGCTTTAGTCAGGTGTTGAGGTAATGATTTCCATTCGTTGATGATTTGATAGGAAAGTCGATAGTTAGCTGACAAGTAATTTGTTCTGAGCTTGTGAACGTCTTTAGAGCGTCCACACAAATTCTGTTTTGGAGTACAAAAAATAAAGACAAAGATGCAAGTTTATCACCAAATAATTTAAAAACTGTGATCAAGTCACCTCAGGTTCTCCTATATGACAGCTGAAATAGGCTTAGTTTAGCCAAACGATCATCATGCGGCAACTTTGCTATTCAGGGAATCAGCTTAGTTGTGATTCATTGAAACTTTCCCAGCATTTGGATGTCTCCTTTAAATCAGGGTCTGGCCGCTTGTATGAAGTACTTAAGTTTTGGACGCATGAGTACTGTACACAAAGTCAGAAACGTTTTAGCGTCGACATGACTTAAGACCCTACGTATTGACCATAGGGTTCTAAAACTTTTGGCGGCTATCGTACTGCAGTGTACGATAGTCTTGTCTAACGATGACTCCTAGGTCATTATAGGTTCGGAAAACTTAATGCTACTCATCAGGTTTATATCTGTACCTTGTGACCAATATGCATCATTTACATATAACAGGAACAACACTGTACCCTGAGGCACTCCGATAAGCATAGTTTCCCAGCTATACAACTTTGAGTTCGCTCGTACTCTTTGTTGATGACGAACTAAGAAGTCCTTTATCTACATCGATAAATTTCTTCCAATCCAGATATCACTTAACTTATTATAACAACCAGTCGTGAGGAACTCGGTTGAAAAACCTCGCTGAAGCCAATTTAAGCTACATCTATAGGTGACTTTTGATCTACTTGCAGAGGGTCGAAGCACAAGTATTTCGAGCTTCCCGATATTGATTTTGTCTCGTCATTACCCAGTAACTTATCTATACGCTTTTATAGTGTTTGCCAATATAAGTAGTTCAGTCAATCGACCAGTCATATTATGAATTAACATACAATAGTTGTTTCATATTTTGCCGAAATTTATATATATTCCTTCAAAAAAACTATGCCCAACAATTTTGTCCCGGTGACATAAAAACTGTCAGTTAGTTAAGAATAAATGTCCATGTCATGTGAAAACATGTACACAATATTTTTTTGGATGGCATCAGCTGCTTTCTAATCACAAGTTAGTTTTATCTCATTTTTGATTCATATATATATATATATATATATATATATATATATATATATATATATATATATGAATGAATGATTGACTTCTATATACTTCCTATTAAGTTTAACATGTAGAAAAAAGAAATATACGTTTAAATAATTCATTTTTGCTGAATATTTTTTAACTATTAGGCTCACAGAACACTACACCCAAAAGCATTCAATTGAGATGCGAATCTTCGCTAACAGTTGATATAATTCAATCTTATTAATTTCCTCTCTCGCTGGACTGGTGTAAAGCATAGTAACTGGGATTGATTACAGTGTGTGCATTAGGTTTTAGATGGGTTCCGATTAAGAAGATCTACAATTGAGTCACTTATTTTCTGTGAAGTTTAATGATACTTATAGACACACTAAGACAGATGTGTAATCCAAACGTGCAAACGTGTTTGGAAACTAAATTGTATAACTATTAAATTACTTCTCTACTAAAACATGAGATGAATGCCAAAAAACTGATATTTATATGTCCAATATATTTTTATTCAAAGAGTTAATCCATTATTCAAGCACAAAATTACGTGGATAGTCGTGGTTGAGTAATTTAGAACAGATGCACAGTTAAACAAACATACACAAAACAGGCAGAAAACGAAAATCATTCAACATTCAAATCTATGAGACAAAATACGTACTAGATATCTATGTATATAGGAAACATAATGTGGAAATAGAAGAAACACAGGCAGCTTGTATGTGCATACAACTAAATTATTCCAACACAATCCATACAGACATGATAAAAAACAATCTTAGAAAATTATTCTAACGAGAAAGAAAGTATAAAAGAGGAGACACAATGATAAGAAAACACTCAATTTTCATGGGGTTGACTAGGATCACTGTGAAATAACAACTATCGATTACAATTATGTAATAATTTACGAATAAAAGGTGGACAGATGTTTAATAGCCAACTATAAGTTAATGAAAGTATGCACGGACACTCATCCATTTACACACAAATGCACAAATGTACTAAAAACAGAGATTCATATTTAAATTACAATAATTCACTTTTCGTAGATAACAAAAGTGGAATTGGAAAAAAAATACATAGGAAAACATAACAGTAAGTAATAAAGATGATAAAAGGCACGTACATAACACAATCAACGAGAGAAAAAATGAACACAATAGGAAGTAATTATATATTATTGTTAATTCTTATTTCAAGTTTGACTGACTAGCAAGCCATTCAGAAGTATACACATATACTGATAGGTTGATGGGGTGAATTTAAAATGCAACACCAGAGTTTGAGATGATGGAGTTTAAGCAAAGTACAGGCACACGCAGATAGATAAAAAAAGGAAGAATCAGGAAACTAACTAAAAAAAGAGAATATTAGGCTCTTTAGAAAAGAGCAAAAATACTGATTTTAAGCATCATTCAATCATGGTATCACATGGATAACAACAAAACAGGAAGTAGATAAGAACAAAACTACATCAATAAGCTATATGAAATATATCTGGAGTCAATGAACAAACATACAAGCAACGAAAGAACACGGTGGATAAATTCAAATAAAAAATAACAAAGATAACGACATGAAAGTAATCGAATTCAACAAGTGGACATATATCTTAGACGAAAAATTGCTCTGTTTTTGAAAGGGGGGTGGTAGAAAGATCACTTATACAAATAAGAAGTATTGATGGAATTTTCATAGGTAGTAAATGAAACAGTAACAAAACAATACACGATTAAAATTATTCACATATACATGAGAAGAATTTAATATTGTGCTGTATACATACTAAATGAAAGCCAATAGGTTGACACATACATATATATAAAGGAAATAGTAAATAAGTACCTCTAAGAAATAAGACAACAAATATTATATCATTAATACGGAAACAAATACATTACTAATATCACTGTATGTTGTATGTTGGCAATTACACAAAGAATTAGAAACGATGATAAGTGGATGTGTACATATTATGTTGTATGTACGCTTTAAATGAATACATATTATACAATAAAGCAACGATGATTGTGACGGCGTAAACGAGAATGCGCATGATAGTTAGTGAGATAATGAATTTGGCGATCATTAAACGCACCTTTACGTTTACTGGAAGAAGATAAAAGAATAAATTTGAGCATTGAAATACAATATCGTTAAATCAAATGACATATCAATAGTGATAGAATAAATATATGATGAAAATAGTTCAATTTTAATATATAGTCAGTCCTTATTTATAACTAATAAGGGAAGAATTCGCTTTACATAAATGAAGTGTATGATATGATAAATTTACAATTAAAACTGTAAAATACTATAATTCATATTCATTGGAATCAACAATTCACATACTAGATGTGTTGACCGATTTCAAGATTATTCTCGAAAATAAATAAATAAAGATTTCTTCAATTGACAGATAGTTCCCATTTAAACATTAAAATTAAAACACGAATTTCAGCGAAGGGATCTCTTTTCAACGAATTTATTATCAAGCTGTACAATCGTATATATGACCTTTAATTATTATAACAAAAACATTTTACAGGTTGAAATCATGAGTCAATTGAAGCTAGACCACCATGGAAAACCTGGAAGCACTGGACGGCCGTTTCGTCCTAGTATGGGATTCCTCAGCAGTGCGCACCCACGAACACGCACCCCGCAGGATTCGAACCCAGGACCCACTGGCTTCGCGCGCGAGCACTTAACCATTAGACCACTGAGCCAGCATCCAACGGCGTTAATGTCTAACTTCAACCAATCCGCGGAGTTGCGCCACCGAACACCTTAATCTATTTAATCATCTTATTATATTCACTAAATCTATTGTTATTATTCATATTACGTAATCTAGTATTATAACCTTTTTATTAACTGTATTCACATTTCCTCACGGAATTAGTACTTTTACAAAAACAAAAAAAAATTTCATATATATACGATTGTACAGCTTGATAATAAATTCGTTGAAAAGAGATCCCTTCGCTGAAATTCGTGTTTTAATTTTAATGTTTAAATAAAGATTTAACACATAAAACGAGATCGGATATTCTAGATTGACGCATAAATTCGCCTCTCTTTAATCAGTATTATTTTGAGGTATCCTACACAATAGTGTTACTATACTATGTAATTTTATTTTCATATGTATTTATTCATATTGTTAAAACTATATGAAAGAGGATAAAATTTTATTATTACAGATATTAACAACATCTACTGTGTAGAAAGGTCACAATTCGGTCATTCATTATATCAATTAAACATTAGATACTAAAAAGAAAAACAAGTTGATCATCTTTGAAAAAAAAATCTATTACACAATATAATTTGTGAATATACTAATTTGATTGTATATTGAATAAAATACAGTAAAGGATCAGGTGATTTTTGACAGTAGTTTTTAGTTAACTGACAGGTTAGAAAAATAAAATCCCAATGAAGAATTTTATAATATTTTTTTTGAACACATCCACATTAAAATCATTTGATCTTTTTTTTTATTGAATAGAGAAGAAATTTCGTGTTAAACCGATCAGTTCGGAATTTGAACAACTGGCAGTTTCAACTTCAATTAGATTTTAATACAGTAAATGTTGTTATAAATAAGACAGAAAATTTAAGAGATGTTCTACAAAAAGTCAGTCACCAACTATTATTGTGGAACTGTAAAATAAGCTGTAAAAGATTAATCGTAAGCAAAAATAAGATTCATACAAGAACGGCGGAAATGTCACTTACTGTAAAGCATAGTGCTAATGATTGAAAGAACTGACGAATAAAATATTCGATGATTAAAACAAAACTGCGAGAAGGGAAAATGGTGGTCACTGTTTTGAAGTTACACAACAGTTTAGTGGCAAACCTTGATTAGTTATTTAACAATAATTCTTAAAACCTTAATTAGTTAATATATGGTCTCTTTTGACTGCCAGTTTAGTGCTTGACTGACGACACACTTTCCGAATTTAAAACAATATTTGTTCTACATTATTGCTATAAATGTATCTAGTTATCAGTAATACAATCAATACAATATTAATTTATTTCGTCGTAAAGTCTAATGTATATAGAATGTTGACATTCATTTTGTTATTAATTAAATGAATATAAACAGTAGTCTATGTGCACCAAACAGAGCTATCTGGCAAAGTTATTAATGTGCAAACCGATAAATGGTATAAATTATAGTATAATTTAATGGCGGTAATTACCTTATGAGACAGGCTAAATAATAACTATTAACCAAGTTTACAAATGTTGTATACAATGTAGAATTAATGTAAATGTGAAAATTGTATTTGGATTTTATTAAAATATGAATATACGTTAACAAATATTAATAGTTACTAATATTCATTATAATGAAGTACCTGCGAATCAATTCTATTGCATCTTCACTGGACATTCCAAGTTCCATTAACGCAACAGCAACCAGAACCGGAGCCCTTAAATATTTCAGTTTAAAAAAATACAAAAGGCTCACATAGTTTAGTCAAGCTACTATACAAACGACAGTCTATTGAGTAAAACGATATATATCATTTTAAAATGATTCAAGGAAACAATACGTATTACATATAGGTTTTAAGCTAAATACGCAAATAACTCTAAAATTGAATTCCTTTTATCACTAAAATGAAACTAAATAAACTTACATTGCCCTGGAAAATCAATAATGGCAAATCACTACTATCTGTTAGTTAAATAATTCTGAATTCGGATGTGATTTGGGAATTTCTTAAGGAAAGTTTGCCCTTCAGGAAGCCAGAAATAAAATGCATTTCAAAACTAATTATAAAGGGTAATGCAGACAGGATCAATAACTGTGGTTGATACTAAGCCATATAATCTAACGTCTCGAACAACTGATTCCAGTTATCACACGGATCTCAAATGAGTAGTTTACGTTTATTAAACTTGGCTTAGACAGCAAATAACTTCGCTAGTATGGTAGATATGTGAGCATTAGTTAAAAATCTCCGTAAACCAGAAAGCTGTTTAGTCCTAATGCACAACTGCTGATTGTAGGTAACCACAACCTCACTTTGTTCTTTGTTTTGTTACTTATTTATAAGGACAAGATTTATTTTTTTCATATTCATATCCTTATTAAAAACATTTTGTCAACCCATATATATATATATATATATATATATATATATATATATATATATATATATTTCAGTCAATGGAGCAATTCCTTCTCAATAAGGATATAAATAAAAAAAGATAAATCTTGTCCATTTAAACAAGGAGCCAAATAAGGGAACGATTTCCGGCAAAAGAGGAAGGTAGAGAGAAAAAGGAACAGAAATATTTAGTGGGTTAGAAAATCCAAGTTCTTGAAGAAAATTGACAACGATGCTTCCATTTTTTCAAAAAAGGACATCAAAAAAACACTGGGTAACAGCGTTATATCCCGTTAGATAAGTGTTTTTAACCCAAAATGAATTAATGTATACTTTTCAAAATTGCGATATTAGCCATTGTAGTAATAAATAACTAGAACAACTAACTAGTATAATGGGGGTATATTTTCAGCAGGAAAGACGAGTTCAGTTACAGACAAGATGCCTACCTACTGTAAGAACTTCTCTTTGACTAAAGCAATATATAAACCGGAATTAGTTGTTTATTGATACTTACGAGGTTGGGTAGGGTATTTTTTACCATGAACTGCTATCGTTCATGTTTGATTTAATGAACAAAACTAGATGATTACTGTTCAAACGAGTGAAAGCTTATGGCGAACTGTCATCAGAATTGATTACCTCAAATGGTGTTCGTCAGGGCTGTCCACTCTCCCCATTCTTGTTCAACTTTGTGGTCGACGTACTTTTAGAGATAACACTCTCATCTAAATTTCCAGGGGTCGAACTTCTACCGGGAGGTTCACTTGTTGACTTAGAATATGCAGATGACATAGTTTTATTTGGTGAAGACGCTGACAAAATACAGAGTCTTCTGACCACTCTAAGCAACAATGCAAGCATGTTCGGGATGCGATTCTCACCCTCGAAATGCAAAATGTTGCTTCAGGGTTGGGTTGCATCGACACCTGAACTAGTGATAGGGAGTGAAGTAGTTGAGTGTGTCGACCGCTTCACTTATCTTGGAAGTCTCATCAGCTCTTGTGGTCTGATGTGTGATAAAATCTCAGCACGGATACAGAAGGCTCGACTAGCTTTTACCAACTTGCGTCATTTATGGCATAGGCGAGATATCCGTCTATTAACCAAAGGACGTGTTTACTGCGCAGCAGTTCGTTCCGTCCTACTTTATGGCAGTGAAACATGGCCGGTAAGAGTAAAGGATATTCGTAGGTTACTAGTGTTGGATCATAGGTGTCTTCGAAACATTGCTCGTATATCATGGGACCATCGAGAAAGTAACACAGTTGTTAGGAAACGAGTACTAGGTAAGGATGGCAAATCAATTGATGACGTAGTGAAACTTCATCAGTTGAGATGGCTGGGACACGTGTTACGTATGCCCAACGACCGACTGCCTCGACGTGCTATGTTCAGTGGTATAGGAGTAGGTTGGAAGAAAGCTAGGGGCGGCCAAACCAAAACATGGCACAAGTCCATGAAGTCACTGACAAGTGGACTGAGTCATGTTGGTAGGTGTAGACTACTTGGTTGGGGACCACGAGATGATAGCAACCGATGGTTAGAGACCCTGGATGACATGGCTCAAAATCGTTTGCAATGGCGCAGGTGCATCCACTCTTTGTGTTCTCCCAAATTCTAATCTTCTGAATTCTTCATGTCCCTTTTTTCCTCTTTCTAAATTTATTTCACTGGATTATACTCTTTAAATAACATCTCCAAACCCTAATCTTCCCGATTACTGCTTATACTCTTATTACCTCTACCACTATAGAATTTGAATCGATAACTGGATCTCTGTGCTAATGTGGTGTGGCAACTCGAACTGATGTACGTACGTACGAAGTTCTACGTTGTTACTGACTGACTGACTGACTGTTCAAACGATTTGATACTGCAACTAACACGTTACTTTGAATTTTTACAAATTTTATCATCAAACCAGGGCAAATTTCATCCAAAGAAATACCAAAATGCAGAAAAATCAGTCATTTATATTTAAATTATTCACTGAGAGCACTGGAATGTATAAACAAACACTGAGCGTAATATACGTGTGTATATTTGTATGGGAGAGAGAGAAGCACACCTATGGCAAATGTATTACAGGATTCACAGTAATGACCGGAAATGTTTGTATACAAGTCAGCACACGAACATAAAACATTGTGAAGAAAGATCGATGTTGGAAATACCTAATCCAAATATCTCTAAAACTATGTTTAAATACCATCGTCTATTCAAGATAAGTATTTAACGGAGGACGAAAAACTAACAAATCTTGACTAGATTAAGGTCAAACGAGAACTTAGTAACCAATTATTTTATTTACAGCTTTATATATATATATATATATATATATATATATATATATATATATATACGATATTCAGAAAGACAGGTTATATCCCTCATTAATTATGCAGCATGAGGTTATTAAGTATGAATATGAAATGAGAAATATCGATAGTGCTAGCTGAAAATGTGACAAAACGATTACAAGTTCATAGCGTTCGAGCAAAGAACCTTAAGGTCAACAATTCAAAAATTATTAAATGTAGACAGGACTGTTTGCTCTCATAAACTTAACTATACGAGTAACTGACAACCATTAACCTTAATGTGACAATTCAAATCCGCCGTGTTCATAACGCAGTCGGGTTGTATAGAATGGAAAGCCGAATTTTCGCAAATCTCTACAGTCGCAACAAGAACTTCTGGAGAGTGTTACGACAGAAACGAGTAATTATTTTAGAGCAAAATGATCTGCACAACAATGAGAACGTGTCAGTCATCATCAAAGTAGAATCCGGGATGAATGTTTATCAGTTAAAATTGTTATATGTTAGAGTTACACAGTAAGAAAAGAAATAAACAAGAGAAACAGAGAAGGACGAATTACAACTGTAATGGACATCGAAACATGAGAGGTGCAGTTTGGAAGGAAGAAGTGGGGTTGAGGAAGAAAAATTTGGGAGTAAGACTGACGTGGGTCATATCAGAAGTAAATCACTTCATGAATTGGTACTGTGTTGATCTGCACATTCCTAGCTTTTATATAACTTACCTCTAAGCCAGCCAGAATCGTGCCAAGTTAGGTAGTGATAAGACACGTGTAACATAAGTCTCAACCACCCCATCTCATCCAGCACGTTACATCTAATTCCAATAACACCCACTGTGGCACGACTTAGAAGCCTAGTACTTGGCGCATACATAGCTTCCACTCACATAGGTTGAAATTCACAGCTATCCAGGAATGCAAGATGACCAGTTGCGCACTCGAATCCTTCTTTGGTTGGCATACGGAAATCTCACTTACAACACAATTGACAAAGGCCAAGGTTGGTAAATCTGTTCCAAGAATTAGTGGGATACCTAGTCACTAGAGCTGGTTAACGAGCTTAACTACTTTACTCTGTATGGCCGCTGCCTTTTCTATCTCTCTTGCTTTCGCTACCCATCACTGTTCACGATCATTGCGTAGACTTCTTGTCAGCTTGCGCTTAAGCTGACTCCGCTCTTCATTATGTTCAGAGCCAGGTGGAATGAGTTTCCGAGCATCTATCAGTGCGATAGATGCTGCTGAGATCCAGTGTTGCTCCCTAACCTTCTGGTTTACCTTACTAGCAGATATCACTGCTGTTTCCACAGCTTTTCGGATATCATTCCATGCTGCATCGGGGTGGGCATCACATACATGGCTGCCTAACTGTTTTCCTAGTTGTTCCTGAAATATACTCTTAGCTTGACTATCATTAAGTAGGCCCCTAAGAGGTTTCCTTGCAGCGTTTTTCCTACGTCCAGTAAGACGCAAGCAAATACGCGCTCGCACTAGAGCATGATCTGAATCTAGGCATGTGCTCCAGAATGAGCGACAGTCTTCTATCGAGCCCCTCCATCGGTGGCTGATAGCGATGTGATCTATTTGGGTCCAACGTTGGGACGAATTAGGGGGTCGCCATGTTAAAAGATGTTTTTCCTTATGCCTAAAGTTAGTATTTGCAAGGAACAGGCGGTCATCTGAGCATAGCTGCAACAGACGGTCGCCATTATCTGTTCTTTGAGCCACGACACCATAGGATCCACCTAGGTGTCTTTCCCTATCGCTTAGTTTACCTACTTGAGCATTAAAGTCACCAGCCACTATTACTACATCCGAGCGCTTAGCTTTTCGGGGAAGGTCCGAAAGCTTTCTGTAAAACTCATCTTTTACATCATCTGAGCTGCAGTCAGTAGGAGAATAGGCAGAGACGACGAAGAGGCAACGATGAGTGTCCCTATCTTTCCGGATTCTTACTGTTCCGTTCAGTCGGACAGCGCACAAACGACTGTCTACTGGGATCCACTCTAAGAGAGCTAGTTCTGCCCTAGGACTCAATGCTATACCTACGCCGGCGAGGCCACGGGAAGCAGAATCAGGGCTTCCAGATACACGAAGCGTAAATCGAGTCGGTTCTTTATTTTGGCATGGTGAGGTCAAATGAATGACGCTACTCGGATCCTGTATGCGCGTTTCCGAGACGCAGCACATATCGATGGCGCGAGATTCTAAAGTCCTAGCTAAGGAAGCCTGCTGTCCTATTTGGCACAGTGTTTGTACGTTAAAAGCTCCTACGTGTAGTTTAGAGCGTGGTTTCAGGAGACCAGGAATAGTGTCCCGCGTACTCGAATCGTTTGCCCTAGCGGTGCGAGGTGATAAAGAGACGTGAGGAGGGTTAGTCATGGAGATAAGAGAGGTATTAGGAGGTGTAGGAAGGATTTGAATGTGACCAGCTTGGTCTCGTGTGCTGTTACGGGTATGAGGGCTGATGTCACTTCCCGGCTGCCCACACCGTGGAAGAGTATTTCTTGAGGAACCTGAAAAGGAAATTGGATTAGTGTTGGTCTTGACGACCCGGGAGCGTGACCGCAGAGCCCAAGGGACAACTGCTTGAGGCCGGTCGCGCACGGCCTTTTTGTGGAAGGTTTTTGACGTGTTAGCTCCGTTCTTCAAAGGGCCTCACCGCCGGAGACGGAAATCCGTGAGTTAAGGTGAGGTGTGACATTTTTAGGGTCGACCTTTTCTAACCCCACCCCTCCTTGTGGGAAGGCAGCATCGCTGTCATGCTGGTTGTCCGAAGGAAACACCTTACTGCTGTCACACCTCTCTACAGTCAGTAGTACGACTTCGCCCTCAGACCTTGAGTTGCTGCTTTTAGTCTTACCGTTCACCAATCGACCTGCCTGGCATGGTAGAACCTACAGGAACATATGTTCCAGCCAATATAGCTCGGTTGGGTCATCACGATAGGCAAGCCCGACCACCGCATCAAGATAGCAGCTTCGGTCGGGAAAAATATGGAACGCTTCACGATTTTGCGTGTCATCCTTGCGCAGGGGCCATGCTAATCTTCTCTGTATCGTTCCAATTTTAGTATATGTACCGCCGAAGCGAGGTGTGTACCTGGGTAGCTGCATAAGTGCTGGTGGTCGCGTGAGTGATGAGATCAATGCACGTATAGTGAAAGCCAGAGCGGCTTATGCCAATCTGAGCCATCTTTGGCGCCTTCGTGATGTTAGTCTGGCTGTAAAAGGTCGGATCTACAATGCGTCGGTGAGAGCATTATTTGCCGACTCTGGGACTGGTTGGAAAAAGCGGAGAGATGGTCAGTATATGACATGGTGTCGTGGGATGAAAGAAAGCTGCAAAGGACTGGCTTCTGTTGGTCCTTCACGACTCCCTGGCTGGGGTCCGAGAGATGGTGCGACACAGTGGCTAGAAACGTTATCAGATATGGCTCAGAATGGAAGCCAGTGGCGATCCTGCTGTAACTTTCTTTTACTTTCTTCATAAAAAAGTGGTTGTATCTTCCTTAACTGAAAGATTTCTTCTGATTGTACCTTTCCGTTCCCCCATTATTATTATTACTACACTACCTTACACCAATCCCTTCGTTATTGTTCTCTTTTTTTACGCTCCCTACCTTTTTTCTTTTCCCTTCTCTTTAAATTCTCATTGTTTTGTGTGGCGCATATTTATTTGGCGCACTATTTTACCAATATTTATGTGTTCAAATAAATAAATAAATAATTATCTCCCTACTCTCCTGAAAGGAAATTAACCCCTGCAAAGTTAAAGGAGGACATTAGCTTCAAGAAAATGTCTACAGAAAAAGATATAAAAATGGGGAAAGTGAGGAGCTCTGATGAACATCACTTGCTTTTCCCAATCCAGATGACATTTAGCCATAGGCTCCTGTGCTATTAATTGTTTATTATTTAAAGAACAAATTCTGGTAAAATAGAACGGCAAAAATTCGCCTTATAAATGAAGTAATAATATTGTGAAATAAAAGGAAATCATACAATTTGTCAATAAATGGACAAGGCTAGTATCAAATAAGATACAGCCAAGAAAGACACATTTCAGTTGATAGAGTTAATCTCCCTTTGTGGGGAATGTAGTAGAAAATTATGACAGGACTATGATAATTTTGTGCACTAAGCTATTATTTCGCAACTACGAATTCAACATGATGAACGAGACTACTACTATCTTTTTCTACATTGTCGCCAATTAGAGTGAAAAGTCTATGTTGTATACAAGCTTTCTTCATAGAGGAGCTAGAAGAATCATATTACTTATTTAAATTATGTATCGATTATTAACTACAGAATTTCATCAAAAAAGGTGTTTGGCTTCCTTTAGAAGTTGGCAATTTGAAATCTGTGTTACGCACGTCTAGCCAGCTTCTGCCTTGATGATCAATGCTTGCTAATATAGAAGTAGGTTGGAAGAAAGCTAGTAGCCATACGAAAATGTAGCGTCAGTTCATGAAGTCATAGATTATTGGTATGAGTGATAACTGTGATCAGTGGTTGGAGATTTTTAGTGACATCGCTCAGAATCGTTCAAAATGCCATAGACGCGTTCATTCTTTATCTTACTCTAGATTTTGGACTTCAGTACACCGTACATCTTTTCACTGTCTTTTCATAACATGTCCCCAAGATTTAGTCCTTCTGATTTTCATTACTACTACGTTATTTCGATCTTTTATTATTTTTATCTCGTCGTGTTAATCAGGTATGGTAACTTGGGCAAATGAACATATGTACCAGGCTCTATTTCGCTGATGCCTGTCCGTTTAATTATGTTACGTAGTTGATTAGTGCCTAGCCTGATTGGCTCTTCCTACAGCCACTTTCTATAAAAACTTATACCTCCTATTCATCAGCTACGGTTAGTTCATTCGGGTCCCCATATATGAGCACATCAAGGACCCATAAGTTTATAGACATAGCTTTATCAGCTATCAAGGCCTATTCGGGTGCCCAAGCCAAAGTAATTGGGGTGCGGTCCAAGCCTGTTCCGTATTAGTTAAAGGCCAATTCCATGGACAATAAGGCACAGAACCTTACTTAACTACAACTGTATGTCTAAATTCAGGTTTGACTTAACGGTTTAGACGTACGACCTTCGATCACTAAGTCAAGGGTTTAAAACTCAGCTTTATATATTGTTTGTTGAACTAGTATTACCAACAGTTTGCATAAAATGAGCGACTGACATCCTATTACATAAATATTCACGTAGTTGTTGCAACAATATTTGTCCACTATGACAAGTTGGAAGGAAACTAATAAGATGCCTAAAGAACTCAATAAAGCCAAAAGCAATAAATAAGTTATTGACTGAGATTAGAGCAAGATAATAAGCCTTGGGAAAAACGTCAACCAAATGAATTATAAGTATTTGATATGCAGAGGAACAAAACTCCCCAAATTTAATTTAGTATACAGAAATTGAGTGAGATTTTCACTGGTTTTGAATGTGATCTTAACCTAGTTAATTTTCACTGCGTTTTATCATATTAACTAGCTCTCTCTGATTTCGTGTCCAAGTGATAGTTGTTTAGTTTAATAATTTTCGTAAACACTAATCACTGAATTGAATAGGTATGTAACTGAGTGAACTTAATATATTTTGGATTTTTCAGAGGTCTATACTAGATGTGTTTTGGAGTAGTAGGTGTTTTGGGGAGAAGGGAAGCTTTCGTATTTTAGTTCGAAGAGTTGTCAGATAAGTCACTTTTATCACAAATCATATCAACGGTTGAATAAATAACAATCCAAGTAAGTTGGGGTTAGAAGCGGTTTTGCTAATGATTGATAAAAAGACTTGTCACCATGTGCAGGATTTTTTATTTGAACACATATATATTGGTACAGGAGTGCGCCAAACATATATGCGCCACACAATTTCAGTTCATTAATTGCGTGTGGGCTGTGTTACTGCCCGGGTGCCCAGACCGAAGCAGGTGGTTCTCTTAGGGGGCCACACCCCGAGCCTTTGACCCACAAGGCAGTGGAGCATCGTAAGGAGATGCAGTCCCATGGTAGCCGGTGACCGACGATTGGTTCATACGCCATTTGTTCCCGCAGGATACTGGTGCCCATATCCACCATTGGTTTGGAATCCGGTTAAAGCGCCGGACATTCGCTTTTCGTCCTCTCATTTTCGTAAACAACACCCCCGCCACGAGAAGGCAGTGAGTAGGACTTCCCTGGCAGAGGCTGTATACGCGCGGCCGTGTGAGAGTATTTCGAGAGGAAGGGCGAACCCACCCCGCTCTCGGCCATACCAGGGCGTTTGGGGGCCCCATGTGCAGGAACATAAATATCAGGGAAAATGTAAGTTATTTGACGCTTGTCCTTTTGCGAAAAGCCGCAAACAAAAATATATGTATAAAAACTAAATGAATATCAGTGGCTTGAAGAAATAGATGGCGAACCTTACCTTCCATATCCAGCTATACAATGAACAGCGATTGGCCCAGGTACCAGGTGGTTTTGATCATCATGAGTGCTATTATTTTCCCCATAAAATCGATTTCTGAGGAGAGTGAACCATTCTGTGAGAATATTCTCTGGTGGAGGCGAACCATCACTGAATTCCCAATGCTAATATTTTTTTTCGATAGAATCAGAGAGGACAACATAAAGCTGTGATTAAGAATATAATAAGTAAAACTTTCGTATATGGGGAAACAAATAGTTGCTCTCTACAACAGAAACCTAGATTTTTGAGATGAAGAACACAAAGTAAAATGGTCCAAGCCTTAAAACTGAGTGATTGTAAAATTAAATAAGTGAAGAAAAATGAATATACTTTTACATTAATCGTCATGCGAGTATGCATGTTTGAATACATTGGTTGATAACTCTAACAGAGATTATTTACCTCTAGGTAGTAACGTATTATATATCATATTCCAGTTACAGCTAAAATGGTTTACAAAGAAACCAAGTGAAAAATCTGAAGCTGGGATATATAAGGAAGAACTCGATTTAAAAGGTTTAGATACTGCTATAATTTTGCATAACATGGGACTAGGTTTTTTTTACAGACACATCATCCAAGACCTTAAAAACTGTATGTCTCCAGATAATTCACGAACCGATGCATACTCCTCTCAAAAGTCTCTTACTCTATTATGATTTCGGCATATAAGATACGTCACTTAATACGTAGGATTGTTAGGCAGATGTTTTAGCTACCCAATATTTAACTGGAAGGAGCTATCTAGTGTTGACCCCTTAACCACAGCTATCGTACGAGCCGGTACACATGTGGATCGGTTCACGCCCCCACGCATCGGAAGGGCGAGTTGAAATAACTAAAACTGGGTAGCAAAGTAGAGGTAGCATCACGAATAGTAAAAACAATTGAACACAGATAATATGGAGTTCGAAAAGAGATATATTCACAGTATAAGTAGCATGAAATAGTATCTCACACGAAAACTAAAGGGGGAGGGATGGACGAAGAAACGTACTGAAACCTGACATTTTATCAACGGTCGCAAAACCTGGTGCTAAATCGAAGTCAGGCAAAAATCGTCAGCAGGCATATATCAATAGATCGAACCTTATCACATTTAGACAAGTGAATGAAACTGAACAGATGCATCAACTACTACTTTCCGCTTATTTGAAGCAAGATAATCTTTAAACACCTTGAATATACAGCTTCGGGTAAATGGAAAACGAATGACATTCTAACAGAACGCTTTTTCTTCAGTATTTCTCATTCTGGTTAGTGAATAAAGTATCTAAGTCGCACTTATAGAATCGATACGAAAGGGGGTACCAAACACACATTTTCCACACAATAACAATGAGGCCAGTAGCAATTATCATTGGTTTGCGTGAGGGATGTGATACTGCCCGGGTGCCCTAGCCGAAGCAAAGACGCGTATAGAAACTAGTTAGTTCCTCTCATGTTACAATAAACTGAGGCGGCTTCAACTTGATATACTGGCTTGAACTCGCATTTAAAAGTGTAAAGAGTGAATACGCTTGATGTTCTACAGTGACTTTTCGATAATCACAAGACTAAGGATATTTGTGGACATACATGTACACATATCCCAGCATTTTCAAAAGGTTCCACGGGGTACCGGTCTTCACATACACGAACAACATCAGATACGTTAAGCTTTGAACATTCCTATCAAAAGAAAATTAATGAAACGTCGATTATACAAATACCTCCACAAAGTAAGGCACATTCGTTTTCGAAGGAGAATCCATAATAATAAAATGCATCCCTTTGTGTTTGATGTCAGTAATGATAGGCAATCGCAGAGTTCTTGCACCCATTGCTGACAATCGACAAGATTCTGAGTTACATCGGACTGAGAAATGGAGAACACCTGTGCTGCATCACTTTGAATTGATACCTAAAGTTGAGTCTCATAATATGATGCATATTACTTGAAATATTTTGCAACTTCCATCTTCGAAAATATTTGAAAGTTTGAAAATAGTTAATAACATACTGACCTTTCACCGTTGTTAGTGATCACTGGAGTTGTTGGCACACTTTCAAATACTGTTGTTGTTATCGTGCCTATAGATTATATTACTTTTACACACTATGAAAACTGAATGTATTCACACAAAAATCGGTACTCAAGATAGTTTTCACATGTGTAGGTTTTAGTTCGTAGTCTGGAAAACACTATTGAGTATTTGTAATATTCAGTAGATATATGCTTAATTCTGTGTTTCCTTATTTATATTATCGAAGTGAAAAATAGACTTCACACAACCAGTTATGACGGCGAATATAAGATTGCAGTAATCTACTAAAGCCGCCGATCGTATTTTTGGGGATCTTGATTACGGTATCACATTTATGAATTATTTTATTTTCATTTTGTGAAATGTCTGAAAATAGGTTACAAAAATCTGTCAAGTTTAATGTTTGCCATGTTCGGATTATTTGTAGTTTTGTTGAATATCACTTTCGTGATAACCAGATTAATGCCTTCCAGATATAAAGGAGGTATTGAATTTTTTAAATTTTTCTTTTTGTTTCAAGACCTTAGAAGTAGTGAATACTACGATTTCGGGAAAATAATGTTTGTTGAAAACTCGAATATCTTTTTTTCATTTATGTAAGTGAAAGTTTTTGTTTTTGTAATTTTGTGCAAACATGCATGACCACAATGTAAAAATGTGGTTTCCAGTTTATCTATTTGAATGACATTTGACTATTTCGTCGGATTTTATCAGCAATTTCAAGTCACTGCTTCTAAATCTATCAACTAAAGTGGTTATTTTATATTCTTCAAACCTTTACATAGCAACTGACTGAAGATTTTTTGTGAACTTAAGAGTTTAACAGATTCTTTCAGTCAGTCATCTGCAACGTAGGACCAGGAACATATACTCATCGGTTCAATTTGCCACAGCTCACAACAAGATGAACACCAAATTCATAGAAGTAGTTGCTTTTATGGTACTAAAAATGAAGATTTCATATGAGGATATGATACAGGGAAAGATAATCATTTAGTATAAAGAAAGGCATAAAGTATTTTGAATCTCACGGTTTAAGGGAAGACAAAGAGTGTATACACCTATTCCACTGTGATCCATTCTGGGCCATATCTCGTGTTCGCAGTCCACGAGTCTTTGCTAGGCATCTGATAACTATTGAGGTTAGTGTTTTCGATGCTATATGAGTTGAACTAATCCCTCTATGGTTATCACAGAATAATTCTGATCCGTTCATATAGATTGGGACGATTAGTGATTGCGATCAGTAAGACGGGATTACTTTCAATTCCCAGATTTTAACTAAAATACCAGTCAGTATAATCGTTAAAACTGGATCGCCATTCCTAAAGCCTCTAGAATTAATCCATCTGGACCAACTGCTTTTCCTCGTTTCGGATTAGCTATAGCCTTTTAATATTCAGATAGAGTCGGGAGACCAACTTCAATCTTCCATTCAGGCTGTCTGGGAATGGTGGGTAGCTGAAGGCCAGCTAACTTGTTTTCTAAAGTGTTTCACCCATCGTTCTAAACGTCTAATCTGAGAGTAGATATGAGTATCGTCTTTTTCCGAGATAGTCTTACTTACACTTGACTTATTAATTTTAGTTTCTTTTATTATTCTGAAGAGCTGTCTTGTATCACCAACAGACGCCGCCTTTCCCGTCGCTTTTGCTTTTATTGCCCACCACTGCTCACGGTCGTTCCTTAGACTTTTGGTTAATCTAGTTCTGATTCGCCCTCGCTTTTCATCTTCTTTAGAGCCTGATGGGATAAGTTTACGATAGTCCATCAGTGCAATAGATTTAGAAGAAACCTATTGGTTTTTTGTAACCATTTGGTTTAAATCACTAATAGATGTCACTGCTATTTCCACACCTGTTTGGATGTCTTTTCAAGCAACATCTGGATCAGCCTCGTTCTAAGAGCTACCTAAATGTGACCTCAGTTGTTCCTGAAATCTAATTCGGCTTTCTCGCCAATGAGTTCAATTCTAACGGGTCTTCCTAATATGGTCTTTCTGCGTCCAGTGAGGCGCAAGCAAATCCGTGCTCGTATAAGAGCATGATCAGAGTCTAAACATATACTCCAAAACGAGTGGCAGTCTCCTACCGAGCCTCTCTGAAGATGACTGATAGCAGTATGATATATTTGAGTCCATTGTTGGTTTGATGCAGGGGGTGCCCATGTTAGACGATGTCTCTTTTTATGCCTGAAATTAGTACTTATTAAAAATAAACGATTGTCTGAGCACAGTTGCAGCAGACGGTCACAATTATCAGCTCGCTGAGCCGGACTACCAAAATATCCACCTGAACGTCTTTCTGTTTGGCTTAAGCCACCTACTTGGGCAGTATAGTCACCTGTTACGAGTACGAGAAGTACAGAAAGCTTTCTGTAAAGTTCGTCTTCCACTTCATCTGGTCTGCAGTATGTGGGAGTGTGGGCAGAAACGACGAGAAGGCAACGATGTGTGTTCCTATCCTTCCGAGTTTATATGAAGTCGTACAACACATAGGCGACTGTTAACGGCGATCCATTCTAGTAATGCCCCTCTGCTCTTATACATAGTGCTATGCCTACATCCTCCAGTTCATGAGTACTTTCCATCGGTTCGCCAGATATACGGAGGGTGTAACTCATCGGCTCTTCATTTTAGCGAGGTGAGGCCAAACGAATGACCACACTAAGATCTTGTGTGTGTGTTTTGGAGACACAGAATACATCAGTGGTGCGAGATTCTAAGGTTTTAACCAAGGGGGCCTGCTGGCCGATTTGATATATGGTGGGTGCTTTGAAGGCTCCAATGTGCAGTATGGAGAGAGACTTCAGTAGACGTGGGACAATATTTTGCTCACTAGAATCGTTGGTTATGGTGACACTTGAGGAGGACGTTTAGAGTTAACAGTCGAGGTAGGAGTAATAACGGGAATTGAAGAGGGAGATTGAATATGAATACAGTGGTCTTGAGTGCTGTTAGAGGTATGAGGGTAGTCACCACTTCCCGGTTGACTAAACCGTGGAAGGGTTCTTCCGGAGGTACCTGAAAAGGAACTTGGATTGGAGAGCGTGACTTCAGTTCCCAAAGGACAACTGCTCGAGGCCGGCCACACACGACCTTTTTGTGGGTAAGTTTTGTGTTAGTTCCGTATCTTATTGTTGGAGACGGATATCCGTGGGATAAAGCGAGGTGTGCATTTTTAAGGTCGACCTTTTCTAACCTCGCCTCTCGTTGTGAGAAGGCAGCATCGTTGTTATGTTGGTTGTCTGAAAGAAACACCTTACTGCTGTCACACCTCTGTACAGTCAGCAGTACGACTTCGTCTTCGGACCTTGGGTTTGTTGCTTTTAGTCTTACCGCTCTTCAACCGACCTGTCTGACATGGTAGGACCTTGAGTAACGGTTGTTTCAGCCATTATAGCCTGATTGGTCCATCACGATAGGGAAGCCCGATCACCACGTCAAGCTAGCAACAATGGAAATAGATTCCTTAATAACATTGATATCAGTTGAGTATTCGACGATTTCGTTTTTGCGCTAGATTCGGATCGTACTGGTAAGCACATAAGGAATAAAGTTTTTGAATTGCCAATAAGTTTCCTGTTTCACAAGAATTTTCTTTAAGTTGTCCGATTATTTGTATTCAAACTATGACATGCCATTAAATAGCTAAGTCGGAAGAAACAGAAGATGATGGTATCTACTTGTTCTGTATTGCTCTACGGTAGTCTGGTAAATTTGGATAATGCGATGAGAAGACGAAGGTTATCAGAACTATGTGTTACAGTTGCGCAATACATTACAAATAATCTAATCGCGCATATACTTATTAAGGCATTATAAAGGAATAGAAGGTCAAATAGACCTTAACTTTGTGATGATGACGATTTTGGTTACATAAAACGTCCTACAAATAGCCAAGCTAAGTCTTTGATTCCAGATAAAACTACTTGGCTCACATCTCAATGGTAAGGTAATATGGACTCATTTTTTGGATGTCAGAAAAGACATTATCAAAAAATCAAGGTCTATGTTTCGTCAAAAGGCTCAAACATCATGTAAGTGATTGTCTCACATCCCATTGAGTCTATCAATTTACATTTACGTGCATAAACACATACATAAGGAGGAGCAATTGTGAGCTGCAAGTAAGAGTGGATGAATACATACTTAGATGGCTACAAAAACAGGATTAAGACTGGTCATAAGGTTGATATCAAGTCAGCCTTCGTAGTTTTGTACAAAATGTTTCTAGGGCATATACCAAGGTTTATTAAAGCCATGACTACACGAAAACTGAAATCCCTTTTGCATGTTCAAAAAAAATCTGTTCTTAACATTAACCAATCCTGGTAATACTGATTTATGATCCAGTAGGATTTTTAAACTGGTTTTGTGTACTTCGTTATTATCTTTGTTTCTACTTACCTTTAAACTCATCCGTTTGGCCTTTCATTTTTTCATATATAATGCATTAACAAGTATATGTGCGATCAGATTATCCGAACTATATTGCGCAAATACACCACATATTCCCAATAACCTTCGTCTTCTCATTGCATTGCAAAATCTTTGTTGACTCTTACTTTGTTAAGTCAGGTTTTTGAAATAGTTGTTATTAAAAACAATAAGCTGTTTTTCAAATGAAAAAGTTAACGTTTCAAATAATAGTTATTAGAAAGAATAATCTAAGTACGAAAACAAGTTACAGGTTTAATCCCCCAATAATTGTTCAATTAATCACTCAACAGAAAGTGTTTGGAATAACCCCATCCCCAAAATAGAAGGCTTTAAAGTATAGTCAAAATTCCAATAG